TTTTTCGAGACAGGGTTTCTCTGTGTAGCCCTGGCTATCCTGGAACTCACTGTATAGACCAGGCTGACCTCAAACTCAGAGATCTGCCTGCCTCTGCCTCCTAAGTGCTGGAATTAAAGGCATGAGTCTTTAATTGCTGAGTTTAGTTCATGAGGGACTATGACCTGAGAGACGGCTGGGGGGCGGGGCCTGAGACTCAGAGCTCAAGGCTAGGGATCAGGAGGGAGGAGGTTGAGGCAAGCGAGCAACACTCAACTTGCACTCATTTTTGTTTCAAGCTTGGCAGTTTTAACAAATCAACTCAGCTTAAATAGCACCGAGTTAAGATAAGGAACAGAGACAGAGGAGCTGAGTGAGGCACTCAAACTTATATAATTTGTGTGTGTTTTGTTTTTCTTCTTCTGGTATTGGGAAACAAACTTGGCACCAGGTGGGCACTGTGACTTGGCTATATCCTCAAATGCCAGACTACAGTTTTAAGAATGAATCCAGTGTGTAAACCCAGATTCTGAGTCATCTCCGAGAACCTGGAAGTATTTTGGCAAGAAAAGATTTTTTTTTCTCCTTAAGGAAGACTGTTAAAATATGTTGGCTTTGGAATTCAGCTTTGAGATTAAGAGAGGTCCAAAAAGAATATTTAAAACAGATTAGCTAGACAGTAAATAATATGTCAAGAAACAGGAGCAAACTGACAGTTTTAACAGGCCCTTAAACGTATCATGTATTTAGATGCATGCACAAATATAATATACACCTCCGATGCCATCCCGGTGACGAACCTCGTACTTTCTGGTTGAAATGCTGCCACTGGGGCCATACTGCCAGTTTACCCACATTCCAGTAGGATGGCAGGGTAGACAGGGTCCTTCGTGTCTCCACAGGAAGGAATAGATCCAGAAGGCTAAGACAGACTTTAGGCATTGGGGATGTGGCACTGGAGCATCCTGGACAGCGCCCGACAGCTGAGAGGCAGCTGGTGGGTTTCACTCCTCCCCACTTGAGGATATCGAGGCAAGGAAGGCCTGGCGGCAGATGGCTGTGTGGTAATGGCTGCATAAGACAGTGGTTTGCTCACATCTGGAACCGGGTGGGGGTCCGCCCTGAAAACACCGCATCTTCCTGTCAAGCAAACACATTTGAGCACACACATAATCACCCGCTGGGTAGGTGTTTATGCGGTCTCTAGATTCCTTACATTGTGTCCCTGCTGGCGATCTACTCCTCTCTAGTGCTCTCCTCTCCCTTTCCCTTTCCCTCTCCTCCCCTCCCCCTCCCCTCTCCTCCCCTTTCCACTCATCTCCTCTTGAGCTAAGTCACTGATCTGACCAAGGAACAAGGACTCCTGGGTGGCTCACTGAGGGTCCCTTACCCCATCTGTTTCTGCAGACTCTCATTGACTCTAAACCATGGCTGGAACCTCTTTTTTCCTGTTCTGTTGAATTAAGCAAGTTTGCATTTGCTCAGACCCAGATGGGACACCTCTAGCGTCCCCAGAGACCCCGGAACCATGTCAGAAGCAGTAGTGGGGAGATTGTGGGAGCTGGAGGCCGGGGTGGGAGCCCTGTGAAATGCTGTCTTCAGAACATGACACGATGCTGCATTCATGAACACGCAGTAGCCGTGCCAGCTGCCTGCGACCTGCACACACAGACAGGTCTTTAACCAAAAATGGAAGACCTTGAATGTGGGCTTAAAAGAAACCCCACACTAGCTCAGCATTGAGAATAATAGAAGGTTATTAATTTTGGGGTAGACTCACCGATCAATATCATCTGCTGGAACAGAGACCAGCAACTGAATCTCACAGCTGGAAAAGAGGCCGGATGCATGCTTTACATTGGCATGAATAATATAAGAGGCCACGCCCCCTGGGCAGCTGTAGGATTTCCTACAGCAGTGGGCAGCACCGCTCTGGGGGCTGGGCCCAGGACTAAATGAAAAGAACGTGATCCCAACACCAGTGTCCCCGCTCCTGGCTGAGTGTTATGTGGCCAGCGTACTCTCCTCTCCCCTGGCATCCTGACCACAGTGAACTGTATCCATTGAAGTGAGCCACAGCAAGCCACTCCTCTAGCTACTACAGATAGCTTTCTGGTGGTTTATGGGGAAAGATTTTAAAATGTAGGGAGAAAAGGTTTAGTTTTTGCCTTGGTTATCTAATTTTCCATTGTCTCCACCTGCATTTAAACATTAGATCAAGAGTTCATGTGTGAGTTAGCGCCAACCCAGGTACTAATGTTGTGCTTGGGTTTATTATTATTTAGAGAACTCGATAGCACCTCTAATTTCATTAATTATTCATCAGCATCTCGGAAGCTTACTCCCCCCAGAATATGGTTCTGATGGTCATAAAAGTGTGTAAATCAACACACAGCTTTAAGGTGACACACGCAGAGGACTTGACTTTCGTTAATTGACCACCCATTCGCAGGACATCACTCACTCCAGAGGCCACAAAACGATTCCTAGATTATAATTAGATTTGTGCAACCAATATTATTTTCAAGAACTAGGTGCATTCTGGTAAATTTTGCTCAAGGCAAAAACCACTTTCTAATCAATAAATGATCTCATCATCGACACAGAGGTGTGTTCCCAAGGAGAAACCCCCAGGAATAGAAAACGTTTGCTCGTTGAAGGAGTTACATTCCTTAGCTCTAGGGTTCTATGGATGTGTGGTTGATACACAGAGTGTAAAAACAAGTGAGTGTGGTTTGGGACATAGCGGGTGAGATTAAGGACAAGGAACAGGGCTGGAGATGGCTCAGCAGCACGGACTTCCCTTCCTGAGGGTCTGGGTTCAGTTCCCAGCGTCGACACAGGGGCTTCCAACTGCCTCTAACCCCAGTTCCAGGATGTCTGGCACCCTCTTCTGGCGTCTGTGAGTACTGCATGCATGTGGCGCACATCCACACACAAATGACAGATATTAAAGAAGAAAAGAACAGGAAGCAGATTGAATAGTGCGTAGTTGAGCCTCCCCATAGTGCATTAGTGCCCCCCTCTTTTGCTGTTAGAATAACATTTTGGCCTTTGCCACAACTTACAAGGACTCACTCTATTTTTTTTTAAACAAAGAAATTATCACCTAATCAAGCTGACTCTCTCTTATACAGTTAAAATGATTTATTTTATGTTATGGGTGTTTCCCCTGCCTGTGTGTGTGTGTGCACCATGTGTGTGCCTGGTGTTTGCGGTTTCCTCTACCACAGGACCATTGTAGGTGCCACTTGGTTGCTTGGCACGCCTCTCCCATGGCTACTGTCCTTACATCCTCTTCATCTTTGCTTCCATGTCCTTTCTCTCCAGCCTCTCTGCTCCGCTGTTGCCTCTGGTCTCCGTTCATTCACTCACCCGCATGTGAAAGCGCATCTGTTTGCTTGTTTTCCCTCTTTGCTGCTCCATGTAATCTCCAGAGAGAGCTTTCCCGTGGACAGCCACGTTCGCGGCTTCCCACAGAGACCTTTCCCGTGGACAGCCACATTCACGGCTTCCCACAGAGTGTCCAGAACTTTGGACGCCATCACAAAATAGTGATTGCATGCTGGATCTAATCAATAACTTGAGCTATTGTGTGATCCCATTTGATTGCTCCTTACTGATAAGTGTGCTAAGGTTTTGATATTATTTATCAGAGACGATTTTGTTGGTGATTTTAGTGTCAGTCAGAGGAAAACAAACAAATAAACATCTGGAGTCCATGTGGAGCTCTCAGATGGCCACACTTATCTCAGGCTCCAGGACCAGGCATCAGCCAGTCACATTCTTGTTAGAAATTATCCTATCCCCAGAACTGATTATTCTAACTTCTGGTGAGATCAGAGGGCCCCTTGAGCCTGGTGAAATTCTAAGCCATGGCGTAAAAGTAAATTTAGATTTGTTTTTCTCACTTATGAGAGTGTCAGTACCCATTTTAAAAAAATAATGGTCAGAGACATAGCTTTTAATAGATTAGTTATTTGCGGCACTGAGGATGGAACCTTGAGCTTTCACAAGCCAGGCAAGCGATCTCCCACAAAGCTCCACCCCAGCCTTCGGTTACAGGTTGGATTGTGTGACGTGGATACTTTTCCCTGACGTCTCTCCCTCTCCACAGGAATATATCGCTAAGAACTTCTGCGTTATGCAGTCCCAGATTGGCTACGATATTTTGGCAGAAGATACGATCACAGCCCTGTTACACAACAACCGCAAACTACTGGAGAAACACATCACAGCCAAAGAGATCGAAACCTTCGTCAGCCTGCTCAGGAGGAACCGGGAGCCCAGGTCTGCTCTAGGGGATGGTGGGGCCCCAGCCCAGCTCTACACTGGCGAGGATGGGAGAGCTTTTAAAATTTTATTTTAAGTTAAAAAAGTTGAGCATCTCTGGGCTTTTAATCCCAGCACTGAGGTGGCAGAGACAGGTGGATCTCTGAGCTCGAGGCCAGTCTGGTCTACAGAGTGAGTTCCAGGACAGCCACCAAAGCTACAGAGAAACCCTGTCTCAGTAAACAAAATAAAAACCAAAACCAAAGCCGGGCAATGGTGGCGCACGCCTTTAATCCCAGCACTCGGGAGGTAGAGGCAGGTGGGTCTCTGTGAGTTTGAGGCCAGCCTGGTCTACAAGAGCTAGTTCCAGGACAGGAACCAAAAAGCTACAGAGAAACCCTGTCTCAAAATCCAAAAAATAAAAAGAAAGAAAGAAAAAAAAACCAAAACCAACAAAATGTAGAAAATGCAAGGCTAGCTAAGGATACAACAATTGTATTTTATTTATTGTAAGTGGAAAACTCATGAAACAGGAAACGAAAAGTCCAAGCACAGCAATGTCCCATGGGGAGAAGGCACAGAGAGTGCACATGGACATGCACATGCTTTCACCTGGGTCCCGGCAAAGCCACGCCTTAACTAAGACCCACCTCTTAAAGATTGTTTGTTCACAAGGCTTTCCCCATCAACAAAAGTTGAGCATCTGTCCAGCACTGACTCTTGACGGGCAGATGCGGTTATGTCTGTGACAGCCAGCGGTGTGTGGTAACAGTTCTGCTTCACATTCCATCAGAGTCCTTGAGAGACATTGTTTCCGCGTCTCGGTGGTGCTGGGGAATCTAACCTGAGGCTCCCACATGCTAGCAAAGGGATTGCCTGCTGCACTGCACCCCGGCCCTAGACTGACATTCAAATGCACTCATTGACTTCCATGTGGCCTTTCAAAATATAGTCATGTGTTTTCACACCTGTAATCCCGGCTGCTCAGGGGCTGAGGCAGGAGGATTACAGGACCTGTGTTACAACAGTGAGTTTAAGGACAGCGTGGGGACTTAGTAGGGCCCTGTAGTAAAATAAATCTAAAAAACGGTTGAGGACTTGGCCCAGTGGGAGAACGTGAGGCCCAAGGTTTAATCCCCAGTACTGAAAAATAAGGCACAAAACCCCCAGAACATATACCCATAGACTCATGCAGGGGCCCAGCTTGCAGCTGTGGGCCACATGGGTCCTAGGAGAGCTGTGAATGGGGACCAACACATTTATGGGCCATGGCACCATCCTGCGGTGTCAAAAGGTTGGGCACTCCTGGTGGGTGCCTCACTTAAATATTATACAGAGCATTCTCACGGGGTTGGTGTTGCGCATTGCTGTCCAGATTTTAATAAAATGCAGGGAATGACTTATTTTCTGTTTCTAGTTTGGTACTGGGAATTGAACCTAGGGCTTGATGTTTTGTTTTATTTTCCTCTCACAACTCTAGGCCAAGCTGGCCTGGAACTCACTTCCGGTTGAGGCAATCCTGCCTCAGCCTTCCCAGTGTCGAGATGACACAGTGACCATCACACTTGGGGGCTGCTGAGCTCTCACCCACACTTTAGGAAGGAGAAAATGAAAGACAGACAGCATCCTGGTGAGCACCCCCGACCGAGTTAGGGAGGGGGTGCCAGGTCTGAGGGGGCTGCACAGGAAGGGGGTGCCCAACCCGAGGGGGTTGCACAGGAAAGGGGTGTCAGGTCTGAAGGGGTTGCACAGGAAGGGGATGCCGGGTCGGGGGGAGGGTTGCACAGGAAGTGGGTGCCGGGTCTGAGAAGTTGTACAGGAATGGGGTGCTAGGTCTTAGGGGGTTGCACTCCATCTTCTCATTCCTTGCTGCCTTAGATGGGCACAGTGAATGCAGACTAGTCAAGAACACCCACTGTGCTTTCTCTGCTGAGTTCTGAATGCTAAAAGGTGCACAGGGCCCTCTCCTGTGACCGACTGTCCTTTCCTAAGCGTGCTTCCCAACCCTGTCATGTACTCACTTTGTTTTGCCTTTTTATTGATATTTCGTTTTGGAGACACTCACTTGAGGGAAGATAAATGATTTTCTAAACATGAGTCCTTGTGCTAATGGATAAATATCACCTAAAAACATAGAAGCAAACACACCCATTCTAAACAAGGCTTATATGTAACAGAAAGTGTTGTTGAATTTGCTTTTAATGAGGCGGTAGATGAGCAGAACACAGAAAAACTCTGCATGAAACAATATTAAAACCGTATCAACACGGGCTTCTTTTATTAAGTTCCAAATTATATTTCTGTTGTGATGATTTTATTAAAATGTTTTGTCGGGCTGGCAAGATGGTGCAGGGGGTAAAAGCATTTGCTGTTGAAGCCTGGTGGTCTGAGTTCACTCCCTAGATCTCTGGTAGAAGAGCTGGGTGCAGCGACGCTCGGCTCCCATCTCTGATTCCAGCTCTTCCGCAGTGAGAGGGGAGGTGGAGGCAGCTCAGTCAGCAGTGGGTGGGCCGGATGGACACAGCGCAGCAGAAGCAGGAGATTGCCTCCAGATGGGCAGAAACGACTGAAAGTTGTCCTCTGACCTCCACACACACACCGTGGCTTGACAGAACCCAAGTCTGGACATGCCCACCCTTTAATAACTAAAAAAAAAAAAAATTAAGTTAATGAGTGGATACTCTCAAGTGGTTTTGTTTACAATAATGAAGTCATTGAAGAATTACTAAAAGGTACATTGTTAAAATATGAAAATAAAATGCTTCTCCTTCACGTTTGCTCTTCCCCACCTAGGTTTCTAGACTATTTGTCTGACCTCTGTGTGTCCAACAGCACTGCCATCCCCATCACCCAGGAACTCATCTGCAAATTCATGCTGAGTCCTGGCAATGCGGACATCCTCATTCAGACAAAGTAAGCTGCCCCGCGGAGGCGTCTGTCGGAGCGTCCCTCGCCGAACGTGCGCTTCTTAATAGATTTTGTGTGTCGTTGTTTCAAGGCTGGTGTCCATGCAAGTGGAAAACCCTATGGAGAGCTCCATCCTTCCCGACGACATTGACGATGAGGAGGTTTGGCTTTATTGGATTGACAGCAACAAGGAGCCTCACGGCAAGGCCATCAGGCACCTCGCCCAGGAAGCCAAGGAGGGCACCAAGGCTGACCTAGAAGTTCTGACCTATTATAGGTACTGGGGCCACTCGCCTTACACAGGGAGCATTCACAGGGAGCCGATTCTCTCGAACCTCTAAGGTGGCAGCTGAGATGGTCAGGACCCCCTAAAGATCTCAGAATGAGGGCTTATATATGTGGTTTCTGCTTGTGTTCTCTGATGGGCTTGGGGCTTTTGTCAGTGGGCGTTTCTTACTGTTACTGATGGGACATGGGGGCAGATGAGAAGCAACAGGACCTTGACTGTGGACTGGGGGGGAGGAGAAACTGGGGTGAGACAGATCTGGTGGCAGAGGTGGCCTCATAGGAAGTGGCTGTGGGTCTAGAGGGGATGATGTGAGCATGTGATCTTTGGGGCTTGAGAGGGGTCAGTGTCTGTAGTTCTGAAAGGGCACCTGTGTTTATTAGCAAGGGCACGAGAGGTGGTTCCCAGGGGTCAGCATGTTGGGTTTAGTAACACAGCTGGGGTGCTGGCAAGATGGCTCAATGGGTACCAATGCTTGTCACGCAAGCCCGATGCAGCGGCAGAGAACTAGCTCCCAAATGCTGTCTCTCACAAGAGGTTTGCATGTGGATGCCCGCCCCCTCTTCAAAAAGAGAAAAAAAAAACCCAAAAAACAAAAACAAAAAAACAAAACAAAACAAAACAAAACAAAACAAAAAAAACAACCCAACAACAGTGAAAAAGACCCAACCAGCTCTTTGAGTTTAAGGAATAAAACCCAAGGCAGAAGTTCTCAGGTTGGTGGGAACCAGAGACGGATGCCAAACACCTGGCTTTTATATCTCAAAGCCAATCCAACGGTGCACCCTTAACCTTAGAGGCTGGAGAACCCTGGGGTATCATCGCTGGGACCAAGCCTCTTTGCTTTGCCAACCAGGTGGGGATAAAGTCAGTGCAGATTCTGGAGGCTCCACACCCCCACCCCAACAGAGGCTGGGAAAAGTGGAGAGAGTCAGCTCCCCATGTCTCACCGTCCATGCCTGCCTTGGTGCTCTTGATGTTAGGGCTGAAGTCCCGCCGTGAGAGGGCTGTAGAGACAGGGATGGTGTTAGACCCGTGCGGTCATTTGCTCCCTGTCTGAAGAGTTTGGCTCAGTGTTGTGGGTACTTATCAATACATCTGCCCGCCCAGCGGCTGTTTAGGGCCTTAATGGAGGAAAGACAGATAATGTAACACGCCTCATGCTTTTAGGTACCAGCTAAACCTCTTCGCGAGAATGTGCTTGGACCGCCAGTATCTGGCCATCAACCAGATCTCCACACAGCTGTCTGTAGACCTGATCCTTCGGTGTGTGTCTGATGAGAGCCTGCCCTTTGACCTCCGGGCATCTTTCTGTCGACTCATGCTCCACATGCACGTTGACCGGGATCCCCAGGAGTCTGTGGTGCCCGTTCGCTATGCCCGGCTCTGGACCGAAATTCCCACAAAGATCACCATCCATGAGTATGTTTGGAAAATCTATGTCTTAGTTAGGATTACTAATTTTTTATTTAATTTTAAGTGCATTGGTGTTTTGACTGGATGTATGTCTGTGTGAGGATGTTGGGTCCCCTGGACCTTGAGTCAGAGACAGTTGTGGGTGGCCACATGGGTGCTGGGAATCGAACCCGGGTTCTCCTGAAGAGCAATCGGTGCTCTCAACTACTGAGCCATCTCTCCAGCCCCAGTTAGGGTCCCTATTGCTGTGATGAAACACCATGACCAGAGTAACCTGAGTGGGGAAGGGTGTATTTGGCTTTCACTTCCTCATCATCTGCACTGAAGGAAGTCAGGACAGAAACCCAAGCAGTGCAGGAGCTGATGCAGCGGCCATGGAGGGGCGCTGCTTACTGACTTGCCCACCTACCCAGGGTTGGCACCACCCGCAATGGCCTGCCCTCTGGCCATCAATTACTGATTAGGGAAATGCCCAACAGTCTTGGCTACAAATGGATCCTTTGGAGACATTTTCTCAGTTGAGGGTCCCTCCCTTCCAGAGACTCTAGCTTGTGTCAAGTTGACATAAAACTAGCCAGTACATTGTATTCATTACTTTTCTCATATTTGACAAGCAGTGGCTTATGGAGGGGAGGGTTTCTAGAGGTTCACAGTCCAAGGGGGGCATCAGTCATGGAGGAAAAGCTCGGTGTGCCGGGACCTTGAGGCACTGTTACCTTGAATCTGCACTCAGGGGGCAGAGAAATCTCATTTCTCACTTTCCTCTCTGTTCAGTAACGGTCTCCAGCCCAGGGGGTGGTGCTTCCCACACTCCACAGATAATTGGTTCTGGAAACATCCTCATGGTTGTGCCCAGAGGTGTGTTTTCTAGAGGATTCTAGATCCTACCAAGTTGACGGTGAAGATGAGCCATCATAGAGGTGACAGGACATTTAAATTCAGCAGATGCAAGCAAAGTCAAGCATCTTCAATTGTGAAATAAAAAACACAGGAAGGGATTTGTGCATTTTTGTTCACACTGTTCATCTGGGAAGAGTCAATAAGATACCCCCTCCTGAGGGCCGAGTGATAGCTCTCTGGCAGGAGACATGTTTCTGGAAGCTAGTAAACAAGTAATCATAGCTCACAGCTTGTGATGACTGGGAGGCTCCCCTGCTTGTTCTAGCTCAGTTTTCAGTGGCCCCCGTCACAGGTGGGATGTGCACCCCAAGAGGTTGACTGATGTGTGCAAGGCAGTGCACTCTGGGAGTCAGAATAGATGACATTCCCACTGTGTGCAAGGCAGTGCACTGTGGGAGTCAGAATAGATAACTTCCCCACTGTGTGCAAGGCAGTGATTTCTGGGAGTCAGAATAGATAACATCCCCACTGTGTGCAAGGCAGTGCACTCTGGGAGTCAGAATACATAAATTCCCCACTGTGTGCAAGGCAGTGCACTCTGGAAGTTAGAATAGATAATGTCCCCACTGTGTGCAAGGCAGTGCACTCTGGGAGTCAGAATACATAACTTCCCCACTGTGTGCAAGGCAGTGCACTCTAGGAGTCAGAATAGATAATGTCCCTACTGTGTGCAAGGCAGTGCACTCTGGAAGTCAGAATAGATAATGTCCCCACTGTGTGCAAGGCAGTGCACTCTGGGAATCAGAATAGATAATGTCCCCACTGTGTGCAAGGCAGTGGACTCTGGGAGTCAGAATAGATGACATCCCCACTGTGTGCAAGGCAGTGCACTCTGGGAATCAGAATAGATGACGTCCCCACTCCTCAGTGTTTCCCATCAACTTAACTTGCTCTTTTGTTACCTGTCCAGGTATGACTCTACCACAGACTCTTCCAGAAATGACATGAAGAGGAAATTTGCCCTCACGATGGAATTTGTGGAAGAATATTTGAAAGAAGTTGTAAACCAGCCATTTCCTTTTGGGGACAAAGAGAAAAATAAACTGACATTTGAGGTACTTAAAACATTTAAATTTATTTTCTTTGTGCCTAGTGCCCACAGTGGTCAGAAGAGGGCATCAAATCCCCTGGAACCAGGTGATTGAGAGCCATGTTGGTGTTGGGAGCCAAACCCAGGTCCTCTGGATGAGCAGCTGATGCTCTCCGCCACGGAGCCGTCTCTCCAGCCCCACTTGAGGCATTAAAAGAGTTACTCAAGGCATGAGTGTGTGCTTGTCAGAGATGAGATGCCTTGGCCCCATGGATCTTCCCCTTCCTGTAACATCAAGGTGTCTGGGCAGTTGAATTGTTAGGTTCGGGCAGATATAATTCCATCTGATGATGATAACATACAGATTCGGGCTTTTAAACTTTAATTTCAACCATTAACTTGCTTTTGAAACCATGCATGATGCGTAGAAATGCAGTTCACACGTTAATTAGACCAGGTAGTGATGTGGTACAGTTTGAAACAGAAATGCGGAAAACTTTAGGTTATGGAGCCCCCTCCCCAGATTTGAGAAGAAAATCACGCCCTTCTCTAATTGGTTAGTGTGACGTATGTACTTCGTGACTAGTAATGCCTTGTCCCTATTATACTAATGGTCAATAGAATTAGAGATAAAACCCCATTTTATTTTAATCTTTATTATTGTGCCTTGATAATTAAAATGTTCTGTCTCAATTATCAATGAATTATAGCTTTCCTTGCTTTATTTTCATTTCATATATGTGAATTTTGTTACACTTGGTAAATAGCCACAGTTTTGAATACTTTATAATTAGATGTATTTTCCCCATCGTCATAGAAACAATGACTGAGCCTCATTGACCTGAATTGAAATTTGAAGATAATATAATAACAAAACCAGAGAGAGGACACTTTCACACCCTACCCAGGGTATCAGTCATCCACTGTCATGGGACAAACCCCCCCCCCCCAAGTGTGGCAGTCCATAGTAAACACCATTTCTGTGAGTCACGAGCCTGGGTGTGGCGTGGTGGTGTCTGTTCAGTCCCTGCTGGAAGTGTTTGCTGTCCCTGCCTCTCTCGGGTGGGTGTTGGTGGACCTGCTTCTGTGCCGGCTTGTCACCACGCACCTCAGGTTTAGGACATGTGGCTTTTCTGTGGGCTGAGTGTCCTGTGACGTGGTTCCTGATTTCCCACAGAGGGAGAGCAAGAGAAGGAGAGAGAGGGAGGGAGAGAGGGAGGGAGAGAGGGAAGGGAGGGAAAGAGAGAGAGGAGAAGGGGGAAATAGAGGGAGAAGATGAGAGAGACAGAGACAGAGAGAGAGACAGACACACACTTTCATGCAGTGTTCCGAAGTCTAATCCTGGCTAACCTTGGGTATGTCATGACATTTCTGCTGTGACATACAGCAATCTGGCCCAGTGTGGGAGGACAGCCTGCACCAGAGCCATGCCTTGGAGTCTGTATCTTGCCCTTATTTTCTATAGTACCAAGAAGGCCACAGGCCAGGGCAGGGGACATAAAACTCTGGGCCAATTTATGTCTCCTATTTATTAAAGTGATTTAACCACTGATTAAGTGGTATCCTCCTGACTTACATTTAATTAGTAGTAGATATTGTAACATAAACCCCTTAAATCACCTTAAAGCCTCTCACGAGCTGAGCTGACCCTGGATTTGGATCAGTCCCAATCCGAGCAGTGGTTTTTCACAGGGATTTTAATCCCCAGGTGTTAAGGAGTTAGAAATACTCAGACCACTTTACATGTAAAAATTGCAAATGTGTATTCCATTTTCCAATGCTCTCCTGTCCCTTCCTCCCTGCTTAAGGTGGTCCACCTGGCCCGGAACCTGATCTACTTTGGATTCTACAGCTTCAGCGAGCTGCTGAGGCTGACGAGAACACTGCTGGCTATCCTAGACATCGTGCAGGCCCCCGTGTCGTCGTATTTCGAAAGATTAAGCAAATTTCAAGATGGAAGTAAGAACTTTTGCGGGACATGATAGTATTCTTGCTATTAAGCATGACTGAGAAAAAAACCAAACATACAGAGAAGTAGATTTAACGTGTGTGAACACTCCATGCAGGCATTGGCTCTTGATAATGAGGCATGATAACAGGGTGGACATCCGAGTAATTTCCTCTAATGTGGGTCTTGTGTGTGTGTGTATAGTGTCTGTGTGCACATGCCTATGGGCACACATGTACTGGTGAGCATGAACATGTGTGTATATGCCTGTACAGGCCTGAAGTTAACTTCAGTCAGGTGTCTGTTTAGACTGCTGTCCACTTTATTGATTGAGGCAGCATCTCCTGGGAAACCCAGAGTGCACTCATCAGGCTACTAGAGAGCCCTTTGTCTCTGTTTCCCGAGTGCCGGGGCTACAGGCAGCTACCATGCTTGCTTAGCTTTAACACGGGTTCTGGGGATCTGAGCCATCAGATTTTCAGTGGTGGCCTCATCATAACCATACATTTGTTTGTAGTGGTGATTACATTAGGTTGGAAAGTTGTTTCTAGGAATTATAAGGAAGTGAGCAGGCTGGACACATCCCTGTGAGGACGAGAGCAAAGGGGGGTTGGGCAGATCTGCAGTACAGTTAGAACTGAAACCTCAGGGTGACACATCGAGGGTGTGAGCTGGGGTGGCCCTTTGGAGTTGTCACACACGGAGACAAGAGGGCCAAATATGTCCTTGTGTAGTCATCCGTTAGCTTCTGGCTTCATGGAAGAAAATGTGTGACGCTGAAGAAGGTGGAGCACCCTGCTCAGGAGTATGACATGGGAGAAGAGGGGACACCCTGCTCAGGAGTATGACATGGGGATGGGGGGACACCCTGCTCAGGAGTATGACATGGGGAAGGGGGGACACCCTGCTCAGGAGTATGACATGGGGATGGGGGGACACCCTGCTCAGGAGTATGACATGGGGAAGGGGGGACACCCTGCTCAGGAGTATGACATGGGGAAGGGAGGGATACCCTGCGCAAGAGTTATGTCGAGAGAGAGACAGACATGGTGCTGCTGGTGGCAGCTGGGGGAAGCGTCGCTGGAGAAGAAACTCTACACAGAGCACAGTAACGGTCACTGTAGGACTCAGGACATGTCGGGAAGGAAAACACAAGATTTCCAAGTTCAGGCATGAAGCGGGACCGTCTGATTGGGAATTTCAAATGAGGCACTTACAGAAAAGCTAAGGGATAAATTGCTGTTGCATAGCACAAGAAACCACCTCAGCCCTCTACCTTTAGTCCAGCTCGGGCCCCGAGTACAGCAAAGACTTAGTTACTACAGCAGAAACAGGCATCAGTGGTCTGGACAGTTATCCCGAGAGCTCCAACTGCAAGGGCCTCTGGGAAAATGTCATGTAACTTTTTACTAGGGATATGAGCACATGTCTCTTCACCCTGGAGAGGTCACTGAGGAGAGACCAAAGGGATAATTCTACCAAAATCTAGCTTAGTGAACCAATGAGTTATTGAGTTACTTACAGGAATTTGTGTGACTCGAAAACGGCCCCTACCCAGCATGGGTAGCTCAGGCAAACTCTCCCATGGAGCTTCCTTACAATTTCTGGCAGCTATGTAGATTGGAGCCTCCTCTTCCCAGCAATTGCTTATTGCATTTATAATCTTAATGAGGAGACTTGTGGATTTTGTAAAGTTTCAGGAACTTCCCAAGTCTTGTGTGTTTCATTTGCTTCTTTTGTCCTGTGAGTTTACCTCCTTTCTCTAGGAGGGGGAAGCAGCCCTGTACTGTGAATGTCCCCATAGGCACACAGGCTTCACAGTTGGTGTGTTGTTTTGAACCTTGTTGGAGGAAGTGGGTCACTAGGAGTGAGCACCGACATTTATGGTCTGGTCCCACTTCCTGTCCTTGGTGATGTGAGGTCTTTCTCCCTGCGTCCAGCTTAGTTTTCCCCGCCTAGCTCTATTCTGCCCGTTGCTAACCAATGGTAATAAAACATATTCACAGCATACAGAGGGGGATCCCACATTAGCAAGGAGTCTATGTATCACGTTCCTACCTCCATGTCTTCCCACCATGATAGATTGTGCCTCTTCAAATTGTGAGCCAGAAAAAGACCCTTCCTCCCCTAAGTTGTTCTTTCCAGGTATTCGGTAACACTGGGAGAGAAACGAAGGGGGTTGTGTGATAACCACCCTCAGAAAGTTGAAATACTGAGAGTCCAGATGAGAACGTAGAGAGGAAGGGTCCTAGAAGATTCAAGGTGGTGACCTGGGAGCTTCTAGAATGAACAAGGCTGGAAGAGGGGAAAAGGGGATGTTCCCTGGAGTCTTATGTGCAGAGGGCACAGACTATGTGGGCCCGAGCAGCATCACAATAAAGAGAAGGCCCCGCATCTGTGCCCCCACCAGAGCCACTTTGAGTGCTGTAGATGTTAAGTGAGGCTAAGCTTCCCTTTCCAGGCTCCAGTGGCAGCTGAGCATGCCCAAGACCCAGGAAGCTTAAGCCGGACAAAACCCCAGCATGTAAAGGGGAGATGAGCAGAGTCCGACTGCAAGCCGAGTAGTCACTGGTCACTGATAGCTGCTGGAGTAGGGAGACTCACTTCTCTCCGAGGATGTGGTCCCTGCTAAGCTAACCATGCTCTCGTGGGTGGTAGCACACCCAAGTGTATGGGAGTGGTAAAATTGTGCTTAATGTCTTAAGAAAAAGGCCATGAAGTTGGGGGTGTGTGGATCCAGGAGGAATTGTGGGAGAGGAAAGAATATGATAAAAAAAAATGTACAAAATTCTCAAAGAACTAAAAATCAAACCACACAAACCAAACCCCTTAAATAACAACAACAGCAATCAAGCCAGTAAAGAAAAAGAATTCTCTTGGAGACAGGAGCTGGCCCCAGTGCCCCGTCTTTTACCGGAAGGGGACATTCTGATCCCCACCCTCATCAATCTAACACTGTTTACTGGCTGTGTTATCAATCAGGGAAAGAAATACTGTTTTCAGACAAGGGCATTGACTCCTGGCTGCTTGCTTAGCCTCACACTGCCATTCGCTCTCTGAGGTTTAAAGTGCCGACTGTGTGATTGATCTTTTGGGTTGAAGAATTACTCAGGAGACACTTTTATTTATTTTTTGTCACACATAGAAGTGACAAAAAGCACATGAGCACAATGGCCAACAAATGGGACATCTGGGGTATTAATTGCAAGTAGTACATTTTTTAAATTATACAATTGTTTCCTTTTTACACCAAAGGAAGTACAGTCCAAAGATATTGCTTTTTACTTTTTTATGTATGTTTGTGTGCGTGTGTGTACATATGTGTTTTTGCATATGTGCATGTGGCGTATATGTTTGCATGTGTGTGTTTATATGTGTATGGGTGTGTGTTTATTTGTGTGCATGTGTGTATGTGATATGTGTGTTTTCATGAGTGTGTGGTGTGTGTTTACACATGTATGTTTGCATGTATGAATGTGTATATGTAGTATTGTTTACATGTGTGCATGCATGTGTGGTGTGTGCATTTGCATGTGAGCATGCGTGTGTATGTGGTTTGTGTGTGTATCTGATGTGTGTGCATGTGCTCGTGTGTGTATATAGTTTGCGTGTGTGTATGTGTTCATGTGTGTGCAATCATATGTGGGCATATCTGTGTTATGCAGCATGTGGAGGCCCAAGGTCGATGTCAGGAACCGCCCTCCATCCACTCTTCTGCCATCTACCCTGAGGCAGGATATCTCAATCAAACCCAGAGTTAATCAGTGGGTGTATGGATGGTCTCCCTAGCTAGCTTGCTCTGTGGTTCTCTCTGCCCTCTGTGCTGGAATTACACATGACTTCTAAGTATTTGATCTTGTGTCCTCATACTTCTGCAGCAAGCACTTTAAACTGAGCCATCTTTCTGTTCCCAGATTTTACTTCTTACCAATGCTAATAATCAAGGTTACCCTACAACTGTGACTCTTACTATTTCCTGTGCTTCCCCTTCCTCATTCTCTACTCTTCTTTTTAAGAGACATTAATATTCACACATACATGCACTGTGCTTACACCAAGCCCTCTCCCTCATTCCCTTCCATCCAACTCCTCATCTATCTCCGGTTTATCTCTCCCAACTTTATGTGTTCTCTTTCTAATTTTGTTTGTGCCTTTAACGTTATTTTAATTAGTTAATTTTTAACGAAACACCTAAAATTACATTATTCCACTCTTGCCTTTCCTTCCTCCAATCCTTCTCCTATACCCCACTCTCCTCCTCAAATTGGTGGCTTCTTTTGCTTTTATTATTATTGTTATACACACACATTAGTGCATACATTTACACATAAAACCTTCTGAATTATTCAGAGTGTCTTGGGCATGTATGATTTCAGGGTGGACCACTTGGTTGTTGGATAACCGACTAGAGGGCTTATCCCTGAGAGAAGCTCAATTTTTCCTCCCTCGGTGGTCATTAGTTGCCTGTAGTTCTTCGTTTAGGAGCTGCACCCTGTGTGTGTCCTTCCGTGTTAGCGCAGTGTCTGTTGACTAGCATGTCTGTTGATACGGACCCTGCTCAGGTCTTCTCTTGGAAGCCATATTGTTGTGGTATTATGGGTGCAGCTTTCTTGTCTTTTCTAAAAGACACAAATTCACAGCAGACTTCCTGTCCTCTGGCTCTTACAGTCTTCCTGTTCCCCTCTCCATGATGCTCCCCTGTTCACTGCCTGGCCCGGCTAGTTTCAGCTTCTTATTGGCTAGCTCTTACATATTGTTCTAACCCATTTCTAATATTCTGTGTAGCCCACGAGCTGGCTTACTAGGGAGGATCTTAACCTGCATCTGTCTGGAGCGGGAGAATCATGGCGACTCCTTGACTAAGCTTCTTTTTCCCAGCATTCTCTTCTGTTTACTCCACCCACGTAAGAGTTGGCCTATCAAGGGGCTTAGGCAGTTTCTTTATTAATAAGAAATCACTCCCACATCACTCCCCAAGCCTTGAGTGCAGGCGTTGCAGATGTATCCACTG